GGGAAGTAGTGAAGAGGTCTGGTAGAGATTAACCAATTCAGGTTGTAATACACATGTGCATGGAAGCAAAAAAAAATACTAGGAATCTCTCCAGAGCTATCCTTATCTCAAACTAGCAAAAATGCTATGTCTTTCTTAGTATCACTTATATCTTTTCTTCAACAAAATTGGAGAAAGAGACAGAACAGGTTCTGCCTGGACTTAGACCCTAAACAATGCACTAATATTATTGACATGGGTCAATGCTAAGGGGAGAACACATACAGGGAAATAGGGAAAGGTAGGAAACCCAAAACTTGAGTGTATGATTATGCCCACTGTAGAGGAACTAATATAGTAATTTAAACTGACAGCGTCCATTTATGGGAAGGTGACTGGGAAGTAGTGAAGAGGTCTGGTAGAGATTAACCAATTCCAGGTTTGTAAATACCCATGTGCATGGAAGCAACAAAAAATAGGAATTCTCCAGCTATCCTTATCTCAAACAGGCAAAATGCTATGTCTTTCTTAGTATCACTTATATCTTTTCTTCAACAAAATTGGAGAAGAGGACAGAACAGGTTCTGCCTGGAAGCAAGGTGGTTGGAGGGGAGATATGGGGACAGGGGAAGTGCACATATGCACATATGAATAAATGAATTTTAAAAATCTAAAAATAATGAAATGTTATCATTCGCTGGTAAATGAATGGAATTGGAGAACATCATTCTGAGTGAGGTAGCCTGGCCCAAAAGACCAAAACCGTATGTTCTCCCTCATATGCGGACATTAGTCAAGGGCAACACACAAGGGCATTGGACTTTGAATCACATGATAAAGGCCAAGAGCACACAATATGAGGATACGTTAGACACCTAAAAAAAAAGCTGATAGCATTTGTTGCCCTCACACAGAGAAACAAAGCAGATACTTTTAAAGCAACTGAGGCTAATAGGAGAAGGGAACAGGAACTAGAGAAAAAGGTTAGATCAGAAGAATTAACTAGAAGGTAACACACATGCACAGGAATCAATGCGAGTAACTCCTGTATAGCTTCTTTATCTCAACTAGCAAAAACCTTGGGTTTATTATTATTATTGGGGGGCTATACTCTCTCTTCAACAAAATTAGAGATAAGGGCAAAATAGTTTCTGCCGGGTAGCAAGGGGGTGGGAGGGAGAGGGAGGGGCTGGGAGGGAGAGGGAGGGGGTGGGGGAAGGGGGGAGAAATGACCCAAACTTTGTATGCACATATGAATAAAAAAATAAAAAATAAAATAATCTAAAAATAGTATTGATATAGTAAAAATCTGTCTTAATCAACTGATAATCTCCATATTCTATGTTTTACAGAGGAATTAGAAAGTATAAAATATCCCAAGCTCTGGTTTTACTGAATCAGTAAATAAATTTATTTTTACTTAGTTTTTTTCACCTATGAAGCATTTTTGTGTGGAGATGGGAGTGTAGCAAGAAGCAGAAAAACAGCTTTTCTGGATCAGAAAATCAGAGCTCAATGGGCAGTACACAGCCAGTTATTGTGTCATGTCCCATGTCACAACACCCAGAGCTAATTTAAAATATGGCATAGTGCTGATCTATAGTGCATAAGTCAGACATTTCCACACGATATTTCCAAATTTTAAATTCTTAACATATATTATCATGAATTTCTAAAACTCCAGGTCGTCAACACTGGACAAATAACTAAAAGAATAAATACTACCCATTATTTATTAGAAAATAAACCTGAAAGGATTAGGTCAAAATACATCTAGTTACTCTTATGATTTTCCAGCATTTGCAGAAAATTCAATCTGTTATCTCCAGGTATGAATCAGGAGATTTACATCTCCTGATGAGAGAGACATTTCTTTAAATCCTATCAATTTTTTCAAATCCTTACAACTCATCAGTGGGTGGGCAATAAGTTAAGGTGCTTTGAAAACTGTTCTAATGAAGCTATATATTCAGAAAAGTTTGTTTCATATTAATAAAAATTCTTCTTCACCATCAATTTTGACTATAGTAAGCATATTTTGAATTGTAAACATAACAAAAAAAACAAAATTGATACTACCACCCATATCCACTTAATTCAGTGCTATCTCAAATAGTACCCCTCACTTCCCACTGCTAGCAATGCAATAGCTGAGGGCTTTGTTAATTTAAAGGCACCACAGCAGACCCTCTAAATCATCTAATTTTTGACTCAGTACAATTCCTTATTTTGCAGATAGAAAACCGAGGCTCAAATAAGTAAGATAATTTGCCAAATTTTACATAGCTGCAAAGTGGAGAAGAAAGAAGTCAAACCCAAAGAATATAACTTTTGAACCAGCTGTTGGAGATCATATATGCAAAAGACAAAACTGACTGGTTAGAAATGGAATCTACATCAAAATTATACTCCAGGTTAACAATTTACATAGCAGAAATACCTAATTTTGAAAATATATGCAAAAATGTTTCTTGGGTTTCTTCCTAAAAATAAGTGTTTGTAAGAGAGCTGGTCTAGTTGTTCAAAGTATCAGTATTGTGGACTAAAGGAACTGAAATTGTCCAGAATAAAAGAAATTAGTGGCATAACAAGTAATGTAATTAATGATTCTTAGTTGGATCTTAAAACAAAATGACTAAGAACATCTCTGGCAAAATTGGAAATTTTTAATATGGATTGAATTTTAGAATATTGTATGCATGAATTAATATTATTAGAAGTTGATGGCATTATGCTATAAAAAGTTTAGAGATAGATGCTGAGATATTTAGAGATTAGCTATCATAGTTTCTATCATTTACACTAAAATATTTCAATAAAACAATCCATTAGACATAGATAACAAAACGATAATAATTGTGAAATCTAGGGAATAGGTATATAGTTAAAAATTCTAATACTCTCATTACTTTTATGTATGTGTGAATTATTAAAAAGTCAAAAAAACTGTTCATTTCTCAGCTCTAAAAAAGTTGTCCTTCACTGGCATTATGTTTTTTTAATACTCTGCCCTTTGCTAAATTGTACTGATTGACAGACGACAACTGGTGCTCCACCACATTAATTGTCAGAGAGTAATCACTGCTTATTTGAGAGGCCAAAAGGAAGGATACAAGATCTGTTCCTGTTTGGAGGACTTAGGTCAAGGATGTTCCTATCTGTATTAGTGACAATTAAATTATTCATTGAAAACTCTAATTGTCACCATCTTCATCAGGAAGAAATTGATGCACAAAAAAACTCCTGTCAACTGCAGAAAATTACAACTATTCTTTCTTTGTTTTTAAAAGTAAACTCCTTGACAGAAGTGACCTTATCCTAAATACAATAAATTTCCTAATTCAAAAAACCTCAACAAGAGAGTTATAAAACCTGAAAACTCTCTTGTGCTTTCTCTTCTTTTGCTTCCAGTTACCATTCTAAAGGATAATCTGAAGGCAAGCAATTAGATCAAACATCCTAAGAAGAAAGATTCACATAATACCAGGTATGTTGATACTTTATACCTATTGTAATATAAACTAAGCAGTTTTCAAGTATATAGCTACTGCCAGTACTAATACATATATACTAGTATTACACTATGCTAATATGCTAATATTAGCATTTTATATATACATATATATATGCATTAGTACTAACAGTAGTTATTCTAATACAGTTATTCTCCTCTCCTTTTGTGAACTGCTAAACTATGTGATAATAGACTCATGTTATTAGAAGAAAATATGATCAATGGTAGTTTTTGATCTTAAAAATAAATAAAATCTGATAATACATTAGGACCTTGATAAAATAATAAGCAACAATTCCTTTCTCCAATTAGGCCATGTTGTTTTCCTATCACACTGACACTATTATGATAATACCACCAAGCCTTTATCATGGGTCAGGTATTGTCCTACATACAATTTATAATGTATATTATTCCAGTCAATCATCGGAACAATCTTATGAGACTACAACTCACTCAGAGCCACACAGTATCAGACCCAGTTTAATAAACCACAAGACTGTATTATGAAGTATGCCTGATATGACATGCTAGTTTATTTGACTAATATGTAATCTGTCTCTATAATGACTTAACCTCTATTGTGCTTCCTAAAACTAACAAGCTGATAGTATATATTGTGTACCTAATCAAAACAAGAAAAACAAAACATCACACAGCAAAAAAGATAGATTTTTTTTTTCATCGTGGTCCAAGGTACTTATGTTTAAGGGCTAACTCTGTTTATAAATCATAGCATGTTGGTTATAGCTATCAAAATTTTCTCATTTATAAGACTGAGGTGATAATCTGTGGAACATTTTGCTATAATAAGAGTTGTAAAGCATGTCCACATAAGCAGCTTTTAAAGAAATGAACACACACATACACACACATTACCTGGAATATGTTGCATATCTAAATATGGAGAGATCTAGCAAGTCAGTAGCAAAGAATCCTATAAATGAAGGGGAAATATATGCTTTTAAACAGATGTTTTACAACATAAAATCTGCATTAGGGTATTTAGTTACCAATTGCCACAAGGTGGTTGAAAAGAGAAGAGAAAGAAGAGTCAAATACAAGTTACAAAAACAGATGGAGGCTGGGTATAGGCGCTCATGCCTGTTATTCCAGTTACTCAGTAGGTAAAGATGGGGAGGATCCTGGTTTGAGGCCAACTCCAGGCAAAAAGTGTGAGACACTATTTGAAACAAAACCTGAGGAGACAAGGAACATCTTCTTTCCATCTCTTCTTGTTAAACTTCTGCAATCTTGCAGAAGGTGCTCTTACCACTTGAGCCACTCCACTAGTCCTTTTTTTGTGATGGATTTTTTTGAGATAGGGTCTCAATAACTATTTGCCCAGGCTGGCTTTGAACCAGGATCTCTTCTCCTGAGTAGCTAGGATTACAGGTGTGCCACCAGCACTTGGTGAACATGGTTTTAAATGTTCCTTGGAATGTCTTTTAAGCAAAGAAGATGTTCCTTGTCTCCGCTGTGTTATAAGGTTATTACTTCAAGCAAAGAACTATATTGAATGGACTCTCCCCCTTTGTAGGCAATCTTTATTATCAACAGAAAATGCTCATGCTGCAAGCTAGTGACAATTCTCAGCTTTACCGTATTGATTCTAATCTGAAAAATGTGTTTAAGATTTGAAGTAATTTTCCCTCACCACTATGGAGTAAATATAAGTAATTTTCAGAAACTATTGATCTCTAAAGCTATCCATTCCTAACAAAATAAGTCATTTACCAAGCTGCATCTTTCTCCCACAACTAATAATAATAAGCCACTTTCTGCTTTTCCCAGGACCCAGCAGAAAAAAGATGAGAACTCTGCCACTGCTTATATACATCTTTACACTGAGTGCTTGTTTCCCAGTAAGTATCCACATTACATGACAATAACAAATATTTAGTGTGTACACCAGACTGAAGAGAATAAGGTAAAGGAAGTAGAAGGGAAAAGTTAATCAATAAGTACAAGGTTATAGTTAGGAGTAAGAAGTTCTGGAGTGCCATTATACAGCAGGATGACTGTAGATAACAATGTGGACTATATCTTCCACAAAGCTAGAAAAAAAGATTTTGAATGTTTCAAACAATATACAATGTAGATATGTATGAAATATCACATAGTATCCCATTAATATATTCAATTTTAGGTTTTTATGCAATGGTTGAAAATAAATAAAATTTTTAAATCTCTAAAAAGCATAAGGAGGCAAACATCAATTGTGGGAAGAAAACAGATGGCAGAGAACAAAAACTGAGATGAAGGGATTAGTAAGGAAGTTGTGGCAGAGGTCCAGATAAAGGATGATAGAGACTTGAACTAAACTGTAACACTTAATACAAAAGGTGAGAGTGGATTTAGATATTTTGATGGTTGAGTTTTCTATACCTTCTTCTGGAATAGGTATGTGATTAAAAAAAAATGAACAAAGGAGTTCTGTTTCAGTCATGCTAAATTTGAGATGGCTGTTAGACTTCTATATGAAATCTAACAGTCTTAACAGTTGTCAAGAAGGCAGTTGGATATACATTGTCTAGCATTCAGAAAGAAGTCAAGGGTAAAGTCGACATTTAGGATATTTGAAATCATGAAAACTTAAAGATCACCTAGGAAGAAAATGTAGGGAGTTTGTATGTGAACACAGAAAATGGAAAAATCATAAAATTAGGCATGAAAGTATGATTTCCAAAACAAAGAGAAGAATATAAAGTGGACCGTATCTTTAAGATATTTGGGGGTTATAGAGAAAGCAAGATTAAACTTTAATAATGGCCCAAGGTGATATATCCTATAATTATAACTGTATTTGGTTATATACTTATAAGCATTTATTCACTTTTATTCTTATAAATTTGAAGAATCAAGAACACTACTGTTTCTTTCTTTATTGAATGAATGAATGAAAATGGATAGCTTCATATTATGGTTATAGTGAATATAGAGAGAGGGCAGGGGAACTGATAAAGTGAATAAAATTTGCTCTTGGATATACTCATGTTTCTCATTTTCCACATAATATCCTCAGAATCATCTAAAGCTTTTTCCCTGGACCCTAGTGTTGAGCTCTGTGATTATAGCAAAAAGAGCACTCAGTAGAACTCAGAAGATGTAGGTTTAAGCTCATCTCCAATGCTGATCATACAGATGAAACTTGAGCAATTTAAAATCTATCTATAGACCAATTTTTTTCTCTATATGTAAAACAGTAATAACAGCATATACTTTACAAAACTGTTGAAGGGTAAATAAGACTACATGTATTTGTAAATTATATAATATAATGTAAACATAATGATAGAATATCTACGTACTAGTTTATAAGGCATTGGGGTCTGAATATATATAACAATACTAACATTTTATAAGTTAACTTTCAATAAGGAACCTCTAGGTATCAAATATATCTAGATTGAAAGAAATGATATTCCAATCAAAACAAATGATTATTGTATTGTATAATGAATAAATCTGGATTGTTATTTTGAATAGGATCTTCCTAGGAATTCTCACAAATCTAAATACATTAAGAATTATCTTTTCCTCATAGTCAGGATAAATATCTCTTCAAACTACCCAGATGAGAAAAAGTTTCTAGTGAGAGAGAATTTCCTAAAAGTATGAGCATAAAGAGGTAGCCCTGAAGTACCTTTACTGATCCTTACAAAGTACAGGAATACCAGAGTGAGAACAACCTATAGCCAGAGCAGGCCAACACTGAACTTCTAACTGATTTTTGCAAACTGATTTCAGGGAATGGATAATCTGGCTCCTCTCTTCCAGATGTCCCAAAGAAAGATTGAGAGGATACATTCTGGATTCCATAATTTAGCTCACTGCTTCCTTCCCCATCAGAAAAGAATTATACATTTTCAAATGTTCATAAAAACTAGCTAGTAATCTCAAATGCAGATATTGAACATGCTTTCTAATTTCTAGTAAATGCACTCTTCTATTCCTCTGCCTTTACTATTTCTTCCTTGACTAATTTTTTCTTCTTCTTCCTTCCTTACAGGAGTTTGTCATTCCTCTATTTTAAGAATCTGCTGCTTCCTCCAACCTCACTTGCTCTAGGTGACATGTGTCTTTTCCTTGACTTTCCCCCACTGCCTCCTCCTTCCTCATATTTTCTCCCTCTCCCCTCCCCTTAAAAGTATGATTTGCATATGGAGATGCATTCTCCTAAAAAGTTATTTAACTTCTCTAGGATTTAGTTTCTTCATTTGTATAAGGATACTAAGAGCATCACCCATCTTATGTGTAGCCTAGGAATTAAATAAATCTGTATCTGTAAACCACTTAGAATAGGGCCTGAAATAAAGTAAGGGTTATATAACAATTTTTAATTTAAATGAATAGCAGATATGAACAACAAGGTAAGGACTGACATCTTTAATATATTCTTCCTGGCATAACTGTATTTATTATAAGTGCTTCCAAACTGCAATCATCTAAACTCAAAACTTTAGATGCATATATTTTTAATTCTTTCCCCTCTCAAACTTTCCTAAACCAATTTCTAAGTAACTAGCCCTGTTGTGGCCTTCTGTAAGTAGGAGCCACAATAATTAGTCAATGTATTTTAAGTAAATCAGTCAAACTGGCTATTTGATACATGTTCAATGCCAAGTAACATTATAATTAATCATATTTTAATTAATTTTCCTTCATATAAAATGTCAGAGATATTATTTTCATCACCTAAAATAAAATGCCTGAAACTATTTTGCAACTTAAGTAAAGTAATATTAAAAATTTAAGCTTTATTAACAAGAAATTAATTATTTTTTAATTATTATGAATTCCATTCATCCAGAATCTAGATTTAAAAAAAATGACATGAGAGTAAAAGGGAACTACTTGGGAAGAAGAAGGTGACAGCAAAAGGAGGAAGGAGAAAGAAGAAAGGGTAATGGGGGGATGAAAAATTATCAAAGTATATTGCATGAGTGTATGAATATCATGATGAAATCCATTATTTGTATAATTAATGTACACTAATTTTTAAATGAATATAAGTACAAAGAAATTTCATTAATTCACCCACTCATAAATGTTAAATGAGTACCTGCCATGTGCCATGCAAAGTTCTAGGAACTGGGCATATTGAGATGACCAAAACAAAATCCTTGCCCTCATTATGGTGATCATCTAAACAAGGGAATGAACAGCACAAATATTTCATATCATTGAAGTATTATAAATGATACTTTGGGTCTGGAATTTAATTTAATCTGTATCATTTCATAAATGAGTAAGCTAAAATCCAGTCAAATTAAATGACTTGCCTAAAGCCTCTCAGTTATTTAATGGTGAGCACAAGACAGACCCAGACTTCCATTGCTGGCCCGTTGCAATGTGTTCCAAACATGCTCCTCCAACACCTAAGCATTTGTCACAGTATTCTCAGAGACCACCTGATATGGAGAAAGTAAACTAGTGGAATGTGAGACTTAGTGAAATTAGGAAGCTATCACTCAATCCACTGCAATTCAATTTCCAATCCCAAAACTCCTCAAATAGTGTTCATCCAATGATTAGCAATAATTCCTATTGTTCCTATTATTCATAAATAAATGGACTGTTTCAGATCTTGCACTTTTTTTCCTGCAGTTCAGTGAAAGCCGAGGAAAGTTTCAACAATTACAACAAGGAAAGAAATCTCACAATGCATCTAAACATCACAAGCTACCACATTATTCTGGATCATCATCTCACAACAAGGATTCCCACAAACCCTCTAAGAATAAGCACCCACATTCACCTTCTAAATTCCCAAGCCATTCTAAGCCAACTAAGTGTCCAGTTAACACTCAAAGACCACATTTGAGTTCCACATCTGCTCCCATCAAAATTACTACTACCACAGGTGTGATTCTTTCTACTCAACCTGCTACCACCACATTGGCAAGAGAGACTACAGCTCCACCAACCATAGCTGTCCCACCTACATCTTCCACAGCTGCTCCAACACCACAACCTTCTTCAGCTCCACCAGAGACCACAGCCCCACCAACCACAATTGCCCCACCTACATCTTCCACAGCTCCACCAGATACCACATCTTCACCAGAGACCACAGCTGCCCCATCTACATCTTCCACAGCTGCTCCAACATCGCAACCTTCTTCAGCTCCACTGGAGACCACAGCTCCACCAACCACAGCTGTCCCACCTACATCTTCCACAGCTCCACCAGACACCACATCTTCACCAGAGACCACAGCTGCCCCACCTATATCTTCCACAGCTGCTCCAACATCACAACCTTCTTCAGCTACACCAGAGACCACAGCCCCACCAATCACAGCTGCCCCACCTACATCTTCCACAGCTTCTCCAACACCACAACCTTCTTCAGCTCCACCAGAGGTCACAGAAATCCCAGTTACCACAAATTATCCTTCCCCAACCACTCTTGCACCTGAAACTTCCCAATCTACACCTGCACCCACAATTCAAACTTCCACTACAACCACTCGTCAAACTACTACTGTTCAACAATCAACTTCAAGTCCCAATCGAAATATATGGCCTCAAATTCTTTCAGATATTGCAAGAGCACTGGCAAATATTTTTAATCGTATAAGGTATCAGTAGTATATCATACATGCTGCAGTGTTCTGTCATTTATATGATGTGATCTACGAGTGCTAAACTACCTTCTTTATTTTATCATAAATCCCAAAACTGAGTTGAAACATTACTCAAATTTATAACACTATCTCTAATCTTTGAATCAAACAATTCACCCCACCTGACCTATTAACATGAAAAAGCACCTCTATACCATAAAATCTATAGCTATCATTCAATATCAATTTTTGAAATCCACATTGACAGTCTATTGAGGGGAGAGAAAGTCATTAGCTTTTAAAAAGAGAAAAATTGGGGATTGGCGGAGTGGCTCAAATGAAAGAGTACCTGCCTAGCAAGTGTGAGGCCCTGAGTTCAGAACCCCAGTACCACCCAAAAAAGAGTATATAAAAGGAGAAAATTTTATGAATCATCAACCATTTACATTCCACTAAATATTGGGAAATACAAGGTCATTTCATTGTAATGCCCAATCAAAAAGCTGCTCAAATCATCGAATCCTATAAACAGAAAGTGATAAAACTGGCTCTCTCCACATGAACAAAATCACCAAAATGCCCATAGATTAATGTACATACTTACCTTTGGTTATCTTATCTGTACCCATTGAACTAGATAGACCTATCATTGCATTGACAATTAAAAATAAAACCCTTTACACAATCATTTTAAACCTTAAATGAAATTCCATTCTTCCAAATGTGAGATGAGAAAATGGAAAATGAAATTTGGCAAAGTGCAAAACGAAAGTCTTGTGTTGCATTTTTGAGAGTATGTGATTTTTAAACTTTAGAGTTGACAGTGGCTTACCCCTGTAACCTCAGATATTTGGGAGGCATAGATCAGAGTTGTAATACATCTAAGTGAACTTATATCTAATGTACTTGATTCTAACCTCTGTGAACCACAAGAAGAATTTGTTGTGTGTACATTAGGTACACATAGTTTACTAATAATAAATTAGTTCACATTAAGTCAATATAAAATGTATTAAACAGTGGAATATTCTTTTAGTCATACATCTGAATGTGTTTAAAAGAAAACCATACCAAACTACTGGCCTAATGCCAACTTTGCAAAATTGTCTCTAAAGATGTATCCTGACTCAAGTTGGTTGAAGAAAAAAATTATCTAATTGGTATACAGGGATGTTGTTAACTTGGGATGTGGAGGTGTTATTTTTCTATCACTGCTACTAAGAAATCTGGTGATTGCATCTAAATTTTCTGCTAACTAATAAAGACTGCAAATAGCAACCTATCTTCAGTGTGTGTGTTTGGAAGTTTCTTAGCTTTAATTAGATTCTAAGATTGGTGAGATTGATGAAAAGAGACCTAAATAAGGATTTGCAGTCTTATCAATTCTGCCACTAATTAGCCAAACAACCTGGGTAGATTGCTCAATATCTCAGAACAAGAGGTTTCTTTTCATCCTTCAAACACAATGGTTGATTTAGGTAGATTAATTTTAACTTAACTTAGTAATGTATGTTTCCAATTCAAATTCTATTTGTCCTATAATTCTCACTCTGACAATTAAAGACCCCATACCTCTCATTTAACTCAGTTCTTTCTAGATTCATCTTGGAGTAGTCATATATCATTGGGGATTATTTTTTAAAGAAGAATAACACCTCTCACCCTCTGTAAAAATCAACTCAAAATTCATCCAAGACATTAATGTAAAAGCTGAAATTTTGAAACTACTGAAGGAAACATAGGGAAAACACTACAAGATATAGGCAAAGCAATGGCTTTCTGAATAGGAATCTGATAGCACAGGAAATAAAATCAAGAATTGTTCTTATTCTAGGATTATGCCAAATTTAAAAAATTCTGAACAGCAAAGAAAACAACTACCAGATGCCTGCAGAATGGAAGAAAATCGTTGCCAGCTGTTCACTCAACAGCAGCTTAATATCCATAATTTTAAAAGAACTCAAAAATTAGATACCAAAAGAACAAATAAGGGCTGGGGATGTGGCTCAAGTGGTACAGCACCTGCCTAGTAAGCACAAGGCCCCCAGATTCAGAATGACAAGTATCACATGTTTTTCTCATATGTGGAAATCTAAAAATGGAAGGAAGGAAGGGAGGGAGGGAGCAAAGGAAGGAGAGAAGGAAGGAGGGAGGAAGTAAAGGAAGGAAGGAAGGAAGGAAGGAAGGAAGGATGGAAGAGAAAGAAGAGACTATTAGGGAATAAGATGGGGAGGGGAAGGGGTAATAAGTATGGGCAATAGGAAGATAAATAAAATCAAAGTACCTTATATACATTTATGAAAATATTATAACGAGGCTGTATGCAGTGGCTCACACCTGCAAGCCAGCTACTTGGGGGCACAGATCAGGAGGAAAGCAGTTTGAGGCCAGCCCTGATAAAAAATTTGGTGAGACTTCATCTCAACCAATAATCCGGGTATGGTGGTACACGTTTATAATCTAATAATGCAGGAGGCATTATTAGATCATGATCTAAGGCTAGCCCAAGCAAAAAACATGAGAACTTACCTAAAAAATAACTAAAGCAAAAAGGGCTGGCGTTATAGCTCAAGTGGCGGAGCACCCTGAGTTCAAACTCCAGTACTACCAAAAAATAACAATAAAATATCATAATGAAACCCAATACTTTCTACAATTAATATACACTAATTGAAAAAGAAAAAAATATTAAACTGATAAGAATAAATATACACTTTATCTTAGCCAAAAAACACATATGAGAGGGTGGAGTAAAAACAGTACGTTAAGAAAGTGAATATGATTGATGTACTCTCTACACAAGAATGAACACAGAATTTTTAAACCTGCTGCCATAAGAGGGGATGAAGGGAGAAAGAAGAAAAATAGAGAGTTGGGCCAATTTGGGTCATAATACATATATACATGGAAATGATACAAGGAAACTCCTTTATAGCTATCTTAAACAAAGATGTCTTTTTTTTTTTTTTTACAAAATCAGAGAACAGGAGGGTAGAACAGGTCCTGTGTGGGGGTTGGGATGTCTGGTATCAGGTGGGAAAAGGGTGTAGGAGGGTGAACATAGTGCAAATACTGTGTGCACATGTATGTAAATGAAAAAATAAGACCTGTTGAAACTATTCCAGGAATTGGGGGTGGGGGGTATAAAGTAGAATGATGGAGGGGGTGAATTCAAGTGCGATATATTTGAGACATTGCAAGAACTTTTGTAAATGCCACAATGTACCCCAGCACAACAATAACAAATGAATAAATAAATAAATAAGCAACTACTTCTTTACTTTGGAAGACTTCTTTATATTATTTTATTTTATTAGCATGTATTATATTTTAGAAAGTGGAGGTTTCATTGTGACATTCCCATGCATGCCTATAAGAATCTTTGATCTTGTTCACTCCCTCTATTACTCTTTTCCCTCCTCCCTCCCCCTTTCCATTTCCATTCCCTAGTAGTTCCCTTTCATTTTCATGATTTTGGGTTTCTTTTCCTTTCCCACCTTTCACAAATGAAAGAAAAAAACACAATACTTGTCTCTGTGAGTCTGGCTTATTTCACTTACCATGATAACTTCCAGTTACATTCATTTTCTAGCAAAGGACATAACTTCATTTTTTTCTTAATGGCTGAGTAAAATTCAATGGAGTTTTCTTTATCCATTCATCTATTGATTGGTACCTAGGCAGATTGTATAATGTGGCTAATGTGAAGAGTGGTATGATAAACATGGGCATACAGTTATCCCTGTAGTAACCCAACTTTGATTCTTTGGGGCACATTCCCAAAAGTGTATGACTGGATCATATTAAAGTTCTACTCTTAATTTTTTTTTGAAGAACCTCCATTCTGATTTCCACAGTGGCTGCACTAATTTACATTCTTACCAATGGAGAATAAGTGATCCTCTTGTCCTGCACACTCACCAGAATTTATTGTTTTTTGCTTTCTTGTTTTTTTCTTCTTATCCCAGTCTGACTGGGATAAGATGGATTCTTACAGTTTTGATTTGCCTTTCCCCGACAGCTAAGGATTTTGAACATTTTTTCATGTTGGTCATTTGTATTTTTTCATTTGAAAACTGCTCAGCTGCCCATTTGTTGATTGGAATATTCTTCTGATGTTTAATTTTTTGAGTTTGAGTTTTTTTTCTTTCTTTTTTTCTGGTAGTACTGGTGGTTGAATCCAGTGCCTCACACTTGCTAGGCAGGTGCTCAACTACTTGAGCCACTCCACCAGCCCTTTTTGCATTGGTTATTTTTTTAATAGGGTTTCATTCTATGCCCCAGCCAGCCTGGACCATGATCTTCCTATCTATGCTTCCCCATAGCTGGAATGACAGGCATGTATCACCATGTCCATCCATTAGTTGAGACTGGGTCTCATAAACTTTTTAACCAGGCTGGCCTTGAACCATAATCCTTCCAATCTCTATCTCCCACATAGCTAAGATTATAGACCTGAGCCACAGCACCCAGCTAATTTTTTGAGTTCTTTATATATTCTAGATATTAATTCCATTAGATGAATATCTGACAAGGACTTTCTCCCATTCTGTAGGCTGTCTGATTGTTTCTTTTGCTATGCAGATGCTTTTTAATTTGATATATAATCCCACTTGTCAACTCTTGCTATTATTTCTTGAGCTAATATTCTTCAGAAAGTCTTTGCTACAACTAAATCTTGATGTGTTTCCTATGTTTTCCTTTTTATCATTAGCATATGTTAGTTATACAAAGGGATTTCATTGTGATATTCACAACATTCAAATGTTAATGTACTTTGATCAAATTCAGCCCATTTATATTACTCTTTCTTAACACCCACCTCTCCTCCCCACCTTTTTAACAGTTTTTGGAATGTTCCATTATGTTATTTTCATATATATATAAAATATACTTCTATAATATTCACACACACACACACCATCACTCCTGTGTTGTCTTCTCATCATTTCAGTTTCAGATCTTACATCAAAGTCTTTAATAGACCTGATTTTTTTACAGGTGAGAGATAGGGTTCAAGTTTCAGTCTTTTACATGTATATATCCAGTTTTCCAGGCACCACTTGTTTTAGAGCCTATCAT